ATCAAAGAAATAATTATAAATAAATAGATAAAAATAGAAATAGAATAAAGATCATGACTAAAAATAACTATCCAATAATAGTAGATGCTATTTTTATCACAATATTATTAATAATTAAAAGAATTGATTAATGGTTTATTACTATTATATTTTTTTAATTGTATTGATATATACAGTATATCAAGTATTATAAAATTAATAAAATATGAAATCAAGTTTTTAAATAATAAAAAAGTTATTATTCATTTAAACCAAAATCTTTTTTTCTTATTATTTCAATTAAATAAAATTTAAAATAAAAAAAATTTTTATTTTAATTAGATTAAATTAAGCTATTTCTAATTTATATAAATTCTAACCCTTTAATTATAGTTAAAAATAAAATATTTTTTTTTAAAAGTTATAAAAGAATATCACAATTGATAAAAACTTCATTATTGTTTAAGGCTCTTTTACTATTATAAGTCAAAAAGATTATCAGTGAATCTGATTTTTTTGAATAATAAAAAATATTATTATTAAAATTTTTTTAATTAAATATAATTAGTAAAAAAAATTATATTGAAACAATATAATTTAGTTTTCTGCAGTAGTGACCTACAAGCAATAATACTAATAGTTGAAATAGTATTCACCTGAACTGTAGTAAAGTGATAAATCACTTTTAAAGTTATATTTAGAATAACAATAATCAAGATAACTAAGTTAGTTAAAGATTTAGCTTTAGCATTACATTAATATATAAAGTTTATAAAATGTTTAATAAAGTATATAAAACTAACTTAATAGAGGAAAAAAAAAACAATATAATTTAATTTTTATAAAATCTTATGAGATTTTAAATATTGAAATTAAGTAAATTTTTAGAAATAAAGATTTTTAGTAAATAATAAATCTTTTTAAACGATATATAAGAAAAAAATAAAAGTAAAAATAAAGTTTCTCAAATAATAATAGATATATATTTTTAATAAGTTATTTTTTATTAAAAAGAGATTTTAAAAAAATTTTAATATATTTATATATTTATAATACATATTTTTTTTTTTTTTTTGTAATTTTCTATATTTTAATAGTTTAATAAAATATATAACAATAATAATATGTCAATAATAATATATAGATCACAAAAACTTTTTTCTACAGTTTATTATAAAATAAAATATTATTTCTAAAACTAAACTTAAAATTGTTATTATCTATAACAAGTTAGTTAAATTAATTTATAAAAGTTTGGCTATAGTATATATTATATTACTTGAATAATAATATATTTTTATTTGAATTAATTAATGTATTATACTCTAATATAATTATAATATTATAAAAAATATATATTATTATTATTATTATTATTATTATTAAATTTTATATCTTATAATTATGATTATTATTATATTATAAATCTATAAATCTAAATAATAATTTTTTATTTATTTATAGTAAATCAATAATTTATAATAAAATTTTAAAATGTTATATAACTAAATAAAAATTACATTATATTATACTAGTATATTATTTTCTAATAATTATATTTAATTAAAAAAATTTTATTAATATCTATTTCATATTATTTAAAAATCAAAACTTTAATCATATTTTTATCTTATAATAATATAAGAACTTTGAATTTTTGTAATAATAAAAAATTAAAATAAGAAAAAAATTTTGATTTTAAATAATAATAATAATAAAACCTTTAATTTGAAAAAATAGATGTAAGCTATTAATTATAATATTTTTAATTAGAAAAATATTTATAGTAATTATTGATAAAATAAAAAATTATTTTTAATGATATATTTAAAATTGATTAATCATTATAGATACATTAAATAGAATAGAAATTTTAATAAAATATAAAACACACGTATATAACTGATAAAAACTCGATAAAGTAATCTTTTCAACCAGTTAATGAATAAACAAAAAAATTATATATATTCATAATACTGCAAATTTTAAATTTTATAATATCAAATTAAAATTATTTATATAATTTGTCAATTTATTTGATATAATTATTTTGATAACATTGAAAAAAAATATTTTGTTGTTTATAGAACAAAATAATTGTTTAAACATTAAGAAAATTTCATTTTGAATTGTATAGTTTATAAAATATATTTTGATAACCAAAATAAATATTTTAAAAACTACAATATATACAGTATATACATATATATATTAACTTCTAAGGTTACTCTCTTTCTCATTTAAGCACTTCTCGCCGAGCCGTTACAAAAAAAAAAAAAAAAAAAAGAGAAACCTTACATGCATATCGATTTGGTTGGTTTGAAATCTTTAATGAGCAACGGATAGGACAGAAAGTAGATTGTGAGTAGATGGAAGAAGACATACAACAAACACACACGATCATATCGCACATCACATCTCAATCAATCAAATCAATGATATTTATACGTAGAAACGCGCGCGTCATGTATTTAATGACAATTGCTTTTGTGATATCCTGATTATACAGTAGTCATTGATCATTGCCTGCCTTTATCTTTGAGTTATAATTTCTGTTTGTGAAACGTGAACAGCAGGGATCAACATGAATGCCAGTTCTAATAGGTCTGCCTTTAATGTCCTTATCAATTAACATATTATTTTATAATACAATTGACATATTATTTTATACGTATGCGTTACATGTAACTCATTCGAAATAATATAAAACCATCCTATCGTCACTGAGATCTCAATTTTTCTTTCTTTCTATTCTACTCGCCACCCATCTACCCTCCTTATTCAACCTTTTTCGCTCAACCCTGTGAAAAAAGCGGAAACACAATTCACCCGATAATAATCAACGATCGTTGCTACACTCCCCTCTCGTTGTACGCATAAAAGAAAACAGTGAATATTAGTTTGAAACTTCTGGAAAGTTTAATTTATATAAGCCCGACATTTTCCTTATATAACCTTTTCTCTTAGCTTATTTTGTTCAAAATATACAATTCGTCTCCATTACATCAAACGACACACTTTTTTTTTTTTGCGTCCAATCCATCCACCCTCGACTTATCCACATACAACTTCCATAAACTCAATTACTGAATAGAATCCTAATAAGATGAATAAGCAATTCACAATCTCATACGTTACCCTCGGATTACTTATTGCTTGTTTACTCGGTAAGTTGTTTTCATTTCCTTTGTATATACAGAAAAGTGCTTGTGTCACATACCACAGCCACCCCACAACCTCTCGTGTAACGAATTAATTATTGTTTACTGACCAATCGTTCTCTTGCATTTTTATTATTGTTTTCGATGTGGAACTTTGGTCTTTATACCATTACCTTCTATAACTTCTGCGTGTACACAAAACATGACCAGCCTTAACACAAGCAGCTCCAATAACAGATTTTTCATCCACCTCAATTGTTATAACGAGAGATACCAAAGAAAAGCTCGTGGTGTCCATCAAACGAGTCGACGATCTCGTCGATGGTGACGGCTTCTTTTTGGCTAAAAGGATTTCTGCTGTCGTAGTGGACTTTGAATTGAAGGATGATCACCTTTTGTTGGATTCCGTACCGGTGAAACTGGGTGTTAACAACGTTCACGTAAGGGACTCGTGAGAACAAAAAAAAAAAAAAAATAAAAAAAAATTGGATTAATCAATATTCATCTTTATTAATTATTATTACTACAGGTCATAAATGCCGAGTTCGTTCCCGCAGGTGTAAAAGAAGAAGATATTCGCAAATACAATGAGAATTTCGCCATTGGTCTTGTCAAGGTGGAAGTGAATACAAAAGTTGAATCGACGATCCCCTTCCGTAAAATCAATATCTCCATCAGGATCATTGAAATAGACGGAGTTAAAGTTTCATCAAATAACACCGTTGAAAAATTTTGGGAATTCAAGATACTAGAAACTGAAGATGGCGATCAGAACTCCGAGATCTTACCCATTCCGCCTGTCGACGACAACACGTTATCATTTCCACATCGATCATGCTCGTCTTCCCTTAGATCATTCTCAAGGCGAATTCGCCATTGGTGGCGCTGCTCTTCAAGAAACACACGTATCTTTCTTTCTTCGCTCTCCCTTACCGCTATTTTTGGTGTGATCTTCCTTCTAGTTTCGTCCATCGCCAATTCTGCGATGACGCTCGCATCTCCAAACAAGTTCAGTAAATACCAGAAAGTTCTTCAAGATGAAGGAAGTTATGGGAATATGCATGGAGAGGTGGAGAAAGTGATATTTGTTGCTGATGATCATAAGCTTAAATCATAAGTGATTATAATGTAAAAAAAAAAAAAGAGACAATAATTTGTGCGAATGTTCATATAATTTTTTGCTGTATAGAGATGCTAATTGTTATTTTACCTTTAAAAACTTGTAACAATACTTCACAAATGGCGAGTGGAATTATAATAAATTATAAATTATATTTATTGCACTTTGATGCTTTTTTTTTTCTCTTGTATCAATCACTTGTTGAACGAAAACGTGTCGCGGAAAGGATTTTATATAACCATATAGAATATAATCACGAATATTGGGCATAATGGTGCTATCCTTGCGTCATGTATCTTTACTTCTTACCACACCACAGTTTTACTTCTCCCAACTTTGTTATCATCTTTGTTGTGACATATCATCACATCACGTGATACACCAAAGTTTCGTGACCTTTTTATTCACTTTGTTGCTGTTAACGGTAATAAAAAAAATAACAACTGTACAATAATCCATACCACTGCGGTTAAGGTTCTCGAGTTTGTAGACAATACTTTAACGTGTGACAAAGACCCCTCCGTACCCCATGCCAAGATTTTATTGTTCCTGTAGAAGCGATTGTTTTCAGTTTTTGACTAACATGCAATTCCATACAAGCACAAGTTATTAGATGTAATATTTATCGTAACACCTTCCAAAGAATTTGAAGCAGTTGAACTTTACAGGACGCCAAGAATCTTTATTATACGCCTCGGGGTGTGTGTTGACAATTGGTGCCTAGATAATGTATTCGTGTTAAGACTTTTATAAATAAATACAATTTGGATATTGAGAAAAGAAGTACCCTACCTTGATTTGCCACCATGCAAATTTAAATTTAACTTATATCCTTGAACCACGATGCCCTTAACCCTCAAGTCTTTCTATACGAAGATAACCTTCTTTTATTTAAAGTTTCATTTGAGAACTTTAGGAAAACGAGTAGAAATATGAACCCACTGGTGACATTGTTTTAATAAACAAATAATCAATATGTGACTTCAACCATAATATCGTATGACAATGTCGTGTTGTTTCCGCATAGAATTTCTATACATTATGTGGGGCTTGGCGCCGCGCAACTAATAGATGCACGACGATACATTGTATAATTACTATTGAGCATGCTTTATTTACATAGATTCTGTTTCAGAACTAAAAGGTTCGATTCGAGACCAATTCATTCGACAGTCCATAAAACATATGGGTAATTCTTTTTGAAGGCGACAAAAACGCTTGTTGAATTTTTTTGCGGTAAGGGGTTAAGGCCCGGGATTATTTGTTTCTATTTATATCGTGCTGCATAAAGATTACTTTATTGCATCTGTATAATCGTGCGTAAACTACAATGGATAGCTAATATTTTAACTATTTATTGTATTGTGGTTTAATAGTGTGTTTATTATGTTGCGCATG